CTGGTTTCCAGTGCTAATGAAACATATCCGTCATAATGTACTGGAAGTTCATCTAAATGAGAAAATCAATTTAAAAGTCGACAGTAAGTTTTTACATGAATTTCCGGTTAAAATACAGCACATATTGATTATAATAGGCAATAAGCCCAATCCTTCTTTTTGCATGTTTGACATGGAAACAAACTGCAGGCAGGAGCCGTTCTGCTGCATGTTTCAAGCTGGTGGGACTAACAGATGGCAATAATGGGATTACAATAATCGGATTTTTAAAAGTGGCATATGTAATCTTAAACACCTACTGTAAAAACACAGTAATCTGATTACAGACTCTTTGAAGAGAAGAATGCAGAAAGCATTTAGATAAAATTAATGAGACTTGATTTTGTTATAGCGTTACTGGAAATGTCTTCAGTCTGTTCAGCTGTGAAGCGGAATAAAGCCTTCTTTCTTTCCCTGTTCAGTCGAGGTGTGGGATGCATTAGGAGATCATACAGCGCGGGGACGCCCCCAAGTGGACATCAGCAGCATTACAGCATCAGTCCAAGATAAAAATAGTTCAGTTTCGCTTTCCAATCATAAGAAATGATACCACATATCACATGCAAGGAGAACATAAGTTTTCTCCTTGCATGAAGCCAGCGGCTGTAGTCAGGCCGTGTTTTGATCTCCCAGGTGGAAGTTAACGCAGGCAGAGCTCGGACACGATGGAGACAGAAATACTGAGAATGATCTGCGCCAATCAAGGAGCAGTCAACACGGAGGATTTAGTGTATAATCTGTTTTCCGGCGATCCCACGAAGGTGTCGGAGATCATATCTAACCGAGAGAAATTTGCTCGGTGTTGTCCAAACGGACAGCCGAAGGTGGTGGCCAGGACCCGCCTGAGACTTTGCAGAGCCAAAGACTGCCCGGGGACGTGCAGGGGTCTGCACCTGTGCAAAAACTTCCTCTTCGGATTCTGTGAGTTCAGTCAGCTCAGGTAAACATGCTGGACTTAAAGTAAATTATAGAGTTTACTGCATTGGAGTATTATTATTTCTGCACACTGTATCTGTATACAGAAAGCTGCATCTGACAGCTCAGGTGGAGGCAGGATTTCAAACTCTTTTATCGTGTAAACCTGATATCTGCATCGGTTGCTACTGACAACAAACACGGTTTTGACACAATGGACTGAACCATGTTGTAATCGGGAGGAACACTATGCAATGGATATTTCCACACATCTGCCACATATATTTTAATAACTCAAATAACAGGAATAGAAATGAAGACACAAACAGATAAACAAGAGGTGCCTACAGAGAATTTATAGAGCTGTTCTTGAAAAAACAACCAAAATCCTTTAGACATATTTTCTCTGATGTTTTTTTTATGTGCAGCTACAACATCAGCTTAGCTTAGCAGTTAGAAAAAAGAGTGGAAGTGAAAGGAAAATGGCTTTACAGTGTGTCGGGTTGAATTTTTGTCTCAATTTTAAATGTTAAAGGGATTCTAGTTCTACCCAGCTATATATAAAAAGCTGGTATTGGACTAATCCCTGTCCCAAAACCCAAGTTTGACATTTATGTAATATTACTACCATGATTTATTAGGCTGTCATTTGATAAAACCCTTTGGTTTTAAACACTAACAGCCTCAAAAACAGCTGACTTTGTTCCAGACAGATAAGCTTTCATAATCATCCCACAGTGAGAGACATCGGCTCATTTAAATGTATTACACTGTTTTTATTTTTGGTTTGGGTTTTTTCTTCTTAACTGAGCAAATGGATGCTAGCACTCACAGCCACAAATCAGCTGTGTGGATTCTGTTACAACAGGAGGGGCTGCAGCTTCTCCCATGAGCTGACCTCTGAGCATAACCAAAGACGTCTGAGGCAGCATGAGCTGGAGAGCCTGAGCCGAGAGGAGCTGTGCACCCTGCTGCTGCAGAGTGACCACACACTCCTTCCTGCTGTGAGTCTTACTACCGAGCACTCAATCAATACTGGATCTGCTGATCAAGCAGCCTTTCTTTAGACACGTTTTCTTGTCATGCTGATATCCAGCTCAACCTTCCCACCAACTTCACAAAATACAACAATATTAAAAAGCTTGAAGAGTTTTTCTGTTGCAAACAAGTTAATAAGAAAATGATCCCACATTGACCGATGACCTCTGTAAAAATATTCCCAATACGTTTAGGATCTTGGGCACCAGTTTCACATTTTATTTATTTATTTAGCATTTTGCTAACTTTAATTTATCGTGCATTTATTGCTGCGATAAAGCAAAGTATGATTTTGGGTTATACCTACTTACATGTGGGTGCTACATGTCCTCAGTTGCTCAGTCAGATCCGCCTCTCGCTTGCTAGTTAACATAAATAATGGATATAACATTGGCCATATCCATCTTTTATATACAGGCTATGATTGTAACCACCTTTTCTTTTCTTCTCTCCACCAGATATGCTACGACTACAACAACGGTGATGGAGAGTTCGGCAGGTGTCAGGATGGTGATGGTTGCAGGAGGCTCCACATCTGTGAGAACTACATCAGCCGTGAATGCAGCTGCTGGAAGAACCACGATTTTAATGCTCCACAGCCATTCAGAGCTTTGAAAGCTAGAGGCGTACCTGACACACTCTTTCAGTCCTTGAAGGCTGCTTATGCAAATAAACAGGCTTTGAAGCTGGCTGGAACCCACAGGGAAGATAGAGTCCACAGAGGAAACTGCTCCAGTGGTGAAGTCTCTGCTAATGACAACAACACTGATGAAAGCAGTCTTTTTGGTAAGAGCAAAAAGCGGCCACGCCGTTGGGATAGAGGGAAAGACGGTAACCTGGTCAACCGAGAAAACGCCCGTTTCTCAAGTGACATTCATGCAGCTGACGATGAAGCTGCAAAAGC